TTTTGTTGTAATTTTAGGCTTGGCCTCATGTTAGCTGCCCAGAGTCCCCTTTGGGGAGATGGTGCTGGGGAATAAATAAAGTTTATTTATCAAAGTGCTGGCGTTAGCCTAGAAAGCCCTAAACGGTTCTGGCCCTACTTACCTCTCCGAACGCATCTCCTCCTATGAACCGACTAGGACATTAAGATCATCTGGGGAGGCCCTGCTCTCTGTCCCTGCATCACAGGCGCGCTTGGCGGGGACGAGAGACAAGGCCTTCTCAGTGGTGGCCCCTCGGCTGTGGAATGCCCTGCCTGCAGATATCAGATCGCCCCCCTCCCTGCTGGCATTTCGGGGGAAAGTGAAGACCTGGCTGTTCGAACAAGCATTTGATTAAACAGTGTAATTGAACATAGGAATACGGAATAATGGATGATGAGACTGGATTCTGATTTTACTGTTGAGGCGCTAATGATTGTTATACTGGATGTTTAATGATTTATGTTACAATTTTTTTAATTGCCCTATACTTGTCTCGTGATGTTTTGTATTGATGTTGTTCACCGCTTTGAGTCGCCTGAGGGCTGAGAAAAGCGGTATATAAATAAAGTAAATAAATAAATAAAATATTATTATTATTATCATCATCATCGTCATTATCATCCTCATGATTATTATTGCATAACAATTATATCACCAGAGACCTTCAGTTTTGGTCTCAGGGCTTGGTCTGAACCCAAAGTGGCATCCCTATTTATCAAAATGATGAAAAGAATATAGGCACGTAGATAAAACTGCTAATGAGTCTGCCTTATGCAATCCATATCTATGGTTTATTGTCCCTCAAAAAAAAATTGGTCAGCCCCTTCCTCCAACTATGAATGGAACAGAAACATGAACAACAAACAAATGTATGTAAAGAGAATGTACTTATTTTTTGTAAAAGTAGAACTTAGCATAGCAATGATGTCTTCCTAAATAGATGAGGGTAAACCCTGGCACTACAATTATGGGGAAGCTAACTACACAGACCCACCCCACCCCATCTGAGCTGGAGAGTTTTTCCAAGTTGCAGCAACCAATCAATTAAGACTTGGGAATTGTGGCAAGCTTCTGCTGTCCTGAGTTGGAGATTTGCACATAGTCCTCCTAAACTGGAGGACTTGCATCCTTGTCTCCCACTTGGAGATGACCCACAAAAACAGGATCCTCTTGGGCATGCCCTTGTATTGGCAACCCTATTGGTAAATAAGAATTAATTTTAAAATAATCACATTAATAAGATCTAATGATCTTGGACGTGGTCTGAACTCATTACAACTGATGATAAGCTTGCATATTGAGTTATAATTAGAACCATGTGATGTGATTATTTCATTTCCTCAGAACCACAAAGAGTGCCAACAGTTAGTACTCACTCAGCACACATGTAGGTTATATTTGCTAAAACAAATTGCAGTGGCACATTGGTTTCTAACATTGACATCAGAACCAAATGATTGATCACATTCATTATTTTTATATATTTTTACAATACAGGTGTTTTGCTGCGACCTCCTTGTATTTTATCATTATGATCCTTGATATTAGGCCAAGATCCTGTGCAGGGAGGCAAGAATAAAAGTCCACCCAAGTGGAATTCCATTCTGCTTCCTCTTTCACGTTCTGTAGGACTCATCTTTTACAACCCAAATAGAAAAGAATCAAAACACATATGAAGAAAATATACCTATATAAAATTACATGGAAAGAGACAGCTGCAAACTAAATTAACTAAACGAAAGTTAAAAGCAACTATGAAAGCCCCGTTCTAAAACACTGAACAATAACGGAATACAACAGGAACACACTAAGGCCCCTTCTACACTGCCAGATAATCCAGGTTATCAAAGCAGAAAATACGCATTATCTGATTTGAATTAGATTATCTTAGTTGACACTTCCATATAATCCAGTTCAAAGCTGATAATGTGAATTTTATACAGCTGTGTAGAAGGGGCCTAAGGAAGTCTGATCCCACAATTAATAGTTGTAATGGGGGAAAATATAAACTGAAAGAAAGAATATACTGTTCTGATATTACTGATTCAGTTTTTTTTTAAATTACAAAATTAGTAAATACAATAGCCACCTTTTGTCTCATGTTTTGGGGCACAAATGGCCCAATAAAAAACACACATTTTTTTTAAAATAGGAGTTTGGAGACTTTGTGACTATAAAAATGACTATTAAAAGGATGTGAGCGGATTTGATGCAGAAGGTTGCAAAAAACAAGAGGAAGATGTGTCAATCCCTGCTATAGCTGGACCCATATATGCATCCTCTAGAACCTTCAAGTGTACTGTGAAGGTCCCAGACAATGGCATCATTGTTTTCTGTCTAACTATAAGGATAAAGATAGTTCTGTATCTGAACACATCTGACCTTAAACACCACACCAGCTTTGCATAATCAGCAAATAGTTTATTGAAGAATATATGTAAGCAAAGCAGTCAAAATGGTAAAAACAGTCTAGTCTAAAGATAAAAGATAGTCTATGAGCTTCAAGACACAAGGTAAAACACAAGATCCAAAGGTATAAAATCCATTGAACAAGGCAGCATGAAAATCCAGTATACTGATCAAGAGCCTGGCAAAACTTGGAACATGAAACTAGGAATACCTGGAAACAAGACTATCATGAAACTCCAGTGTTGTCGAGACTGAGCTAACTCTTTCTCTTTTATCAATATAAAGCTTTTCCTCACCCTAGAACTGAAAGGAAAGCATTTCTCTTGCCCGTACAACCAGATAAGGATTTCTTATCTCTCTTTTCCTGCAGACGAATTGACCTTCATTGTTCCTGAGAACTTTGTCTCTGTTTACAAAACTATTGCTTTCTATCTTCATTCTCATTAAATTATGCATCTGACAAATCATCCTCAAAAGACAGTTGTTTCTCAGAGAAAGACTGTTGAGGGCCTCTCCCAGGAATGTGACCTTGTGAATGTGACCTGCAGGAGAAACACTCAATTCCTGAGACACCTCTAGCCTTTTGCCTGGGCTTAACTCAGCCCCAGGGAAACCCTCATCCCCAGTGCCAACAGACCCAGGCCCAGAAAAACCTTCAACCCCATTACCATCATGAACATCAGACACAGTCACAGGCTGAACTACAAAAATAGCTATATTATTTATTTATTTATTTACTCCATTTGTATACCGCATTTATCAGCCTGAGACGGCGACTCAATGCGGTTTACAATAAAAATGGGCAACACTAAACAATATATAAGACGCACATACACAAACAACACACGTAGTCATCAACGCCTCAATTAGAATCAGATCCCGTTCTCACAGTCCTTGGAACCCATGTATCTCTGTTATTGGGTGATTCTTGGCACATTTTGTATGGTCAGATTCATATGATGCAGTTCAATGATATGGCAGTATAAATGGAGCCTCAGCTACTTCACAATTCTGGACAGCAGGTACCAGGAGGTAGTTGACTCTTGGAGTGTGATTTTGTTATTTGGGAATTGTAATTTCTGGGATTTATAGTTCACCTACAATCAAAGAGCATTCTGATGGAACTGAATGAAACTTAGCACACAAAACTCCCATGATCAGCGCAAAATACTGGAAGGGTTTGGTGGGCATTGATCTTGAGTTTTGGAGCTGTAGTTCACCTACATCTAGAGAGCACTGTGGACTCAAACAATGATGAATCTGGACCAAACTTGGCACAAATACTCTATATGCCCAAATGTGAACACTGGTGGAGTTTGGGGAAAATAGACCTTTATTTGACAGTTGTAGTTGCTGTGATTTATAATTCACCAACGATAAAAGAGCATTCTGAACCCCACCAATGATAGAATTGGGCCAAACTTCCCACACAGAACCCCCATGATCATCTGAAAACCCAGGGGTCCCAACCTTCAGGTTGAGAAATGCTGCTCTTGAACTTCATTTCCTATCAGCAATTATTAGTTTCAATTTATCAGATTTCTTTCCCGCAAACACCAGCTGAAATTGGGTGCCTTTTTAATGTCTGCTTTATCAAACATGATGAGAAGAATGTATTCAGCTTCTCAATAATCTCCTTATCTTCCCTTAGTAATCTTTTCTTTGTCATATCCTTTATTGACTCCTGGCAGTTCTTCTGTGTTAGTGCATTTCCCTCCTTGTGTTCTCTTTGTCTGCACAAGCTTTTCTCTTCTTGCTTCTTTGACACTGTTGTTTAACCCTGCTGATGACCTTGGTTGTTTTTTGGGAGGCGGCGGGGGGGTGGGGGTGGGGGTGGGGGTGGCTATCTTTCCTGATTTGTGCCATTATGTTTTAGGTTTTAGTTGGGTTTCTATTACTTGCCTGTCAGTAACTCCCAATTTTTTTTTGGAGAAGTTGGCTTTCTTGATTTCCTGTTGAACTTATAGTTTATTATCTACTATTTTCAAGAGCAGTTTCCTCTTTAGTAAGCTAGTGTGACTGCATCCAAATTCTAATTGGGTGTGATTAAATACTTCCAATTTCAAATATTTGGAGCACACCCTTCTGTGGAACTGAGGAGTTACTTAATGTTCACATTTATAGGTCATCAGCACCCAAATGTTTTATTACAGTGAATATTGAAATTACAATAATATTTTTCTCCCCCTCAAATATAGGTCTTTCTAAACATTTAAAGGGAAATGTAAACTTGTTTCTGGAAAGTCATTGATTGGGGTCCTTGATGGTAGTTACAATTGTGTAACATCAATTTATGCACTTGTGACTGTCACGTTCCCTATGTAACCCCTATAGGAACCATGAATAGTCCAAAGACAAGATAAACTGTCCGATCTTGGAAGCTTAGCAGAGTTAGCCTTGGGTTGTTCTTGGGAGAGGGAGACTGACAATGAATACCAGAGGAAGGAACTGGCAACACCACCTCTTGGACCCAAGAAAACTCTGAAAGTAACGAACTTGCAAATAATGTGAAGGCACACTCACACACTCACACACAGAGGGACATTGACTTAATTGCAGCAAGAGCGTACATGTGGTGTTCCTATTGCATGAAGTCCTACTTGGATGCCAATTTGACTCCCTTGTGTGATAAGGTAATTCGTCTCATTAAACATGGGGTGTCTCATGTACTGATATATTGAACATGTATTCAATTTGATACATTTTTTTTCTGAACATACGTTGTACAAAATTGGTCCTATGCGGTCCAAGGCTGCCTATTACCTAATTACTTTGGGCAACATGTGACGTATCACAATTAAACATGTTGCAAACTACTGTGCGTTACAATAACAAATGCCCAGAGGGCAACATTATAGGCTTTTTGGAGAAGCCATAACAAGATGAATTGCCTGTCTAGTCTTTTTTAAAATATCTGGACCACTTATAAATATAAGGATGTGACCAGGAATGAGAGAGAAGGAAGAACATTGAACCTTTCAACCTTTTCCATAGCTGGTTGGAAAGAACAAAAGAGGAACAAGGGAATGGAGGGGACTGGGATATTTTTTATTGTTCTGCTTGTGATTCTTCTGATTTTCTACTTTCTGAAACAGCAGTGGTCACGCCGACATTTTCCTCCTGGGCCTCTTTCTCTTCCTCTGATTGGAGGCATATGGAGAATTAACTTTGGAATTGGATGGAATGCAGAGACACTAATAAAGGTAATTCTTTCTAAACAATGAAGCAATAACTTTAAAATAGATGTACATGCTTTTAAAAAAGATATGGTTTAGTCATGATGTTGGATAAGAGCTTCAAAGCTGGAAATTTGATGTAGTATTAACCATAGGTAAAGGTAAAGGTTTCACCTGACGTTATGTCTAGTCATGTCTTACTCTGGTGGGTGGTGCTCACCTCCATCTTTAAGCCGAAAAGCCGGCGTTGTCTGAGACACCTTCAAGGTTACCTTCCCACCAAGGTGGTACCTATTGATCTACTCACATTTGCATGTTTTTGAACTGCTAGGTTGGCAGAAGCCAAGCCTAACAGCGGGAGGTCACTCTGCTCCCCGGATTTGAACCGCTGGTATTTTGGTCAACAAGTTCCCACCAGAGGCCCACACTATTAACCATATCCGCAAGGTATTTTCAGCACCAGGGACAGTTCCTGTAAGTTCAGGTTAGACCTCAGAGCTTCTTCTTTAGTCCGCTGCCATTGGACCATCAGATGGTGCAAGTGCAATTAATTATGCCTGAAACCTGGAGATTCTCCTCCCTTGTTAAAGCTTTAGCTACTGTATGTGCATGTAGAAAGAAAGAAACAGATCTGACATTTAAATGATTGTGTGTTTTTTATCCAGAGTCAAGGTCTCAAAGTCATAGCTGATCAATTGATTAGGAGGTCTGAAGAAAGAAAAGTACTACTTTTCCACTTCTCAATCACTGAAAGAATGCCTCTAAAAACATCCTACTTGTAATTTTTGAAAACTTAAGATCTAATGGTTACTATTCTGAATTTTTTTATTTCCTGTAACTTGAAGAAAGATAACATTGTAAATACATGACTCAACATTCTGAAATTCCTATATTATTTATTTCTTAGGATGTTACAGCACAGGGGCAGTGAAATTCTGGTTGACCTTATGTTACTTCTGACAAGCACCAGTTTGTGGAAATGGGAAGAGAGCAATCATTTGACAATGCATTTGGTCTATAGAGAAAAGTTTTAAAGTTGTTTTTTAGTTATGTTGGCAATTGTAAGGATATCCAATTGAAATGTCAATAGGAATTGCACTGATGTTTCCTCACCCACTGACCACGCATTGGCTACTGAAAACTGGCAGAAAAGAACAATCGAACTTTTGCTCAGGATATTATAGTACAAAAGAAGTGGGGAAAGAGATCATTAATTAATTAATATTATGTGTAAATAAAAATAAACAATTTCCAAAAAGTCTCCCACAGAGATACAACAAAAGAGCAGTGGTGTAATAATAATGATAACAACAACAACAGCAACAACAACAATTTATTTGTAATCTGCCCTATTTCCCCGAGGGAACTCAGGACAGATTCCAACATACGATGGCAACACATTCACTGCCTCCATAAAACAATCAAAGACTGACATAAAATCCCAGAAAACTCCCACATTTGAAAATAACATTAAAAACCTAACATCAAATTAAAACCTAACATCAATAAATTAAACTAGACATAGTCAAACAAAATTATAAGGGGGCTTGGTCCCCATGTAAGCCGCCCAGAGTTTCTTCGGGGAGATGGAGGTGGGATACAAAAAGAAAGTTGTTGTTGTTGTTGTTGTTGTTGTTGCTGCTGCTGCTATTATTATTATTATTATTATTATTAATATTATTATTATATAACATAAAATCTAAGCAAACATCCACATTGATTTAGAACAGTCAACTAGAGTTCACAAAACAGTGTGGGTTGGTTGTGTAGTCAAATGGTGGTCATTGGGCTGGCGTGGACTAGGAGAGTCCAGATACAAAATAGTTTTCAACCAGGGCCCGGTAGTGATGTCTTATTCTTTAATCCTCCTTCTCTCCATATGCTAATGAGAAGAAGTAGGTCTTCAGTTGTTTTTTGAAGGAGAGGAGGGAGGGGGCCAGCTACCCACTAGTGCTACCCACTCCCTCATGTCCATGCAGCTCAGTCCAGACTGCCCCCAAAATCCCTTATCACATTTTCCCAGGAGAAGTAATTCCAGTGATCCAGGGTCCAGTTCTGCTTCCTTTTGGCCTCAAACTGTCAAGGGGAGTGTTTTCCTGCATATCAGAAATACGATCCTGACACCAGAAATAATTGGCTTCATTTGACTGTAACCTTTTCCTTTGCTTTGAACCAAATTGCAGTTGTCAAAACAATATGGAAACATTTTTACTATGTGGATGGGAAATTTACCAGTAGTTGTTTTGTCTGGATTTGAAGCTGTGAGAGAAGGACTGGTTGATCACTCGGAAGAATTCTCAGAGCGGCCGCAGACTCCATATAGTTCACTGATAGGAAGAGGAAAAGGTAAGTTGTGAAGAGTTGTACTACTAGATCTTTCTCTGGAGAAACAACATGAGGAGATGTGATGATTTGAGGAAAATGTTTATCTGTTGGAACCAACTCTAAGAAAGCCACTTCTGGAAATGCAACTATGTAGTGTGATTGCCACCATGGTGTAGTGGTTTGAATTCTGGACTATGGACCTCATCACATTGAAGTCAAAATTGTGGGTGATAGCAGGGGGATTCACTATGGATTGTGGCGAATCTGGCAGGGCTGGGGGAACCTGTCACCCCACACCTTGCATCACCCCTTACCTTATCCCACAGGGAGAAGCATAGCCACCCAGCTCCCCCCCCCCCCATTCTTCTCAATGAGAACACGAAGAGCCTTCCTTGTTCTCGCTGCTCCCTCTTATTTATTATTTATTTATTTACTATATCTGTATACCGCCCTTTTCAGCCCGCAGGAGACTCAAGGCAAGTTACAGAGGCAACAATTCAATGCCCGACAACACCATAAAAACATTTAAAATATTTAAAAACATTATCATATAACATAAAACCATATATTGTGACAGTTTCACCTCAGTTCAGGGATGGAATCCCCCTCCCCCGCCCCCGGCCTGGAAAAATAGATCTACATTGTTGCATGGGATCCATGAGGCTCCATCTCTGAACTGAGGCAAAACTGTCTAGGATGAGCAATTTTGTCCATGTGATGAGGTGGTATGGCTCTGGAGATCAGGGTTCAAATTCCCTTACAGCTATGGAAGCCAATGGGTACCCTTGAGCAAGTCATACTTTCTGAGTCCCAGAGGAAGGCAATGGCAAACTCCTTTCATTTATTTTTGATAGGTTCACTTTGGAGTTGACATAAGTCATACATGTATTTGCACTATCCCATGCCCAGCCCTTTTACAAGTTGCCACATCTATTTGTAACCCTGGCCATTGATCTAGTTGAATCTCTACTGAAGGAGCTACAATGAAATGTGTTTTGAATATTTTTTTTATCTTTCCTGTATTTTAGTAGAAGCTTTTTTGTATTTTATGGTGTTTTTAGTTTGCTGTTTCTTTGGTTTATTAAGATTAATTAGATTGTGTTATATTGTCGAATGTGTTTATCTTGATGTAATTGTCTGTATGGTTTCTGTTCGGCAATTGAATGTTTGCCTTACATGTTGGAAATCGGAGTCCCCAATGGTGCAAAGGGTTAAACCCTTGTGGCGGCAGGACTACTGACCAACAGAGTGAATGCAGGTTGAGCTCCCTATGTCAGCTCCAACTCCCCATGTGGGAATATGAGAAAAGCCTCCCACAATATATAGATCTTAGATTCAAGCACCAGAGGGCAGTATATAGAAATAAAGGCTATATCAGAGGGAGAGATAAGAAATGGAGGAAGGTAGCCGTAGGCACAGAGACGAAGAAAACTGAAAACCTGGCTATTTGAACAGGCGTTTGGATAGGCAGTGCAATGAATATAGGAAAATGGAATTACGGATGACGAGTTGGATCATGATTCTAGTTACGAGATGCTAATGAGTTGTTTATTGATGTGTAATTGCTTAGTATATTATGGTGTTAATCGCCTGTTTGGGCTGAAAAATGCGTATAGAAATAAAGCAAATAAATAAATAAATAAATTGTTTTAAATAGTTTGTATGTTGTTAGTATTGAATTTTTGCTCCTGTTGTTAACCGCACTGAGTTGCCTATGGGCTGAGAAACTGCGGTATACAAATAAAGTAAATAAATAAAATAAAATGAAATAAAATTTTGAGATGTTTTAATGGTGCTACACATACACGGAGGGCCATGACAGCTTGTGTGAGGGATGTGTGCCTGACACAGAACACCCTGAAAGTCCAGTTGCTTTGTGGTTCCAAGCAAAGGCCCTGCCCAGATGGAAGGCCATCTCTGTGACTGCCATTTTATCCTGCAAAACATTTTTGCCCACTGCTGTGTGGGCTTGTATACATTGCTATGGCCTGTAGTAAAGTATGTGTCTTCTAGAGTGGCAGCCTAGCTATATTTGACCTGAATTTTGTAAATAATAATTGCATATTGATTCTGACCACCCTCAGGTATTGTGCTTTCAAATGGACATGTCTGGAAGCAACAGAGACGGTTTGGCCTAGTTACATTGCGGAAACTTGGAGTGGGGAAAAAAAACATGGAGGCCCAAATAGAAGAGGAATCCCAACAGCTGGTAGAGGTTTTTGCACACAAAAAAGGTATGTCATGTTAGGAGGTGATGCTGATGTATCAACCTGCAGACATTTTTGTTAGGCTTGGTTGATTTTTAAAAAATGGTTCAAAACTCGTTTTGGATGTAGGGGGCACAGGTGGTTCGATTCTAAAGTCACTTCTGAGGTTTTTTAAAAAAAATTCAAAACTTTCCAAAACTTCCGAAACTTCCAAATTGATTCGTTAATGGCAGACACGCATGCACAGTAGGAAAAAAAACAGCACTGGCATAGGGGAAACTTCAGGGGATTCTCCCTCCCTCATTTTTAGACAAATCCTGATAAAACATGCTATAGTGATAGAACACATGGACCACTGTTAGCTCACCAAACAATGGCTGTGCTTAGCCACGTCCACCTCATCCCTCCTTGCATTGCCAGGGTAGGGAAAGCATGAGATTTGAAAACTTTTTAGGCTTTACCAAAGTTGCTTAATGGTTGTGAAATTTGGGAGACATCAGAACATTATGGAATATTTCTGAAAAAAAGGTAAGTGGTTCAAAATAGGATTTCTCTCCCCCCCCCCCCTTTCCTTCATGGTTCAAAACTGCTTCAGAAATTAAAATTTGTTTTTTTCCGGGTTTCAGACTCTTCTGAATGAATCTACCCAACCCTAATTTTTATTGTGGTCTTTGTACTGGTCTTTGATGTGGAATATATCAATTTTTTTGCTTTCTAATATAATCATAAGTGGACAAAAATTCCCAATAGTTCCTTTCCTCAAAGGAAAATCCATATTAAGCATTTGCCTGATATTAATAGAACTTGATTTGCAGGGCAGCCATTTGATCCTGCATTGCCCATTACCAATTCAGTCTCCAACGTGATATGTGCTGTGACCTTTGGATACCGGTTTTCGCTTGAAGATGCAACCTTCAATAAACTGATAGATGCCCTTGCATATACCTTAAAATTTGCAGGCAGTCTCTTTCATTTGGTAAGCAATCATTTTCTTCCATTTCCATCCATCCAAATAGATCTTACTAAGATGAAAACAATTACAATAGTGTTTTGAGCATTAGATTTAGCCAATAGAGGGCAGAATAAACCCGAAGAGGTAAATCTTCACCGTTTACACTAGAGACGTATATATTTGACTATTTCATTCTCATGTGTGAAGATGAATGCATTCCAAAATTTTATCACAGTGACAAAGAAAACAAAGGTTGGAATCCTCTTGAAGAGTCACGTCTTTGTAACTAGACATAAGTCTATAGGGATTACAATTGGAAAGGTCTCTTATGTCTGCACCCAGTCAAGGATTTGTTACTACATATCAGAAATAACAAAATGATTGATGCATAATGATTGATGTGGAATGGGACAGATGGGATGTGTATTGGCCCCAAGGCACACTACATAAATTCTGATGAGCACTGAGGACGAATGCACATTGAATGCTCTTGCAGTGTTCAGTTACGCATCCTCACAATTCAGTAGCATTATCTAGCATTTCCCATATTTATTTTTCACGCATTTGTAGCCTGTCCTTCTCATCCCCAGAGTGAGGTTACATAATGTGATTAAATAATGTGAAAGGTTAGACAGAATTCTGGTGCAATAATTTTGCAATTACCATCTTGAATTTGCACATCCCAAAGTATTTTGGGAAATTATTTCCCTTTTTTCTGTGCGTAAACATCGTAGAGGTTTATACCATTTTTCATAAAAGAAGACACACTGAGAATATTATGGGCTGCATAAGGAATGACAGAGCTATATTACCAACATGATATGAAACCATGTTAGAGAAGTGTAACAATGAGGAATGGGCACAGGGCACTCAAGAATTTTCACTGACCTTTATTCACAATTACCAATGGCTCTGTTACAGACTATTATTAAGGTATAAGGGCAAGTTATCTTACTAAGTTACTTACTGTTGCACAGCATGACTGTTTCACAATGAATATACTTAGATCTGTATAATTGTTCCAAACCCTTCCTAGGAATACAATCCTTGCACAATGTTACAATTCTACACTGCAGAGTGGCAATTTAGATTATGATTGTACACGTTCTCACTGGGTTGCCAGCTACTGTTTTTAAAGAGCCATAGTATTTTATGTGAAGAATTTCTGCTTTTTATGGGGGAAAGAATAGTCTGGAATAAACAATCCACACGGCTGCCTAGAAACTGTACTTCTTCACATAACAATGTGGGTGGAGGTAGCACCCCAAAAACCCATGTGAATCCTGTGCAAAATAATTTCCCTAAACAATTCAGGATGCTTTCTTGAAGACAAGAAAATGATGAGAAAATTCTCACAATTGAATGCTGAAAACTGGTTTTCCAACCAGAAAATGAATAACTTGAAGCATACTTTCTGTTTTTGTGCCATGAAGACATTTCTGAGTTATAGGTACAAGACATCATGCGAGATATTATGCCTGATAAAGAGTCTGAAAATTGAGCAGTGGAGATGGGCCCAAACAGGGAAGAGGAAGAGAGAAGAAAAGGGACATTTTTAAGCAGCTGAAAAAGAGGAAGACCATGAAGCTTATTAGAAATGCCAAAGAGCGGCAGTAGAGAATATGTGGTGGCTCTCCAGCCATTGCAAGAAATTGATGATGAACGGGAACAAGCATGCATTCCTCTATGCCTTGTATATAGCCAAGTCATTTTCTTATTCTAAAGCAACCTGAGTGTGTGTCAAAGCGGCTTTTGCTGTGTTTCCTTGCCTCTACCCAACTAATGCCTTTGTCTTTATTGTAGCTATATGAAATTTTGCCATGGCTCATGAAGCATCTTCCTGGGCCTCACAAAGAGGCATTTCGTGCGACAGAGATGCTGCTTTCATTAGCAAAGACAGAAATACAGAAACATAAGGAGCAAAAGTCCTTTCAGGAGCCACGGGATTTAATTGATTTTTACCTGCTTGAAATGGAGAAAGTAAGTATCTGGATTCGATCTAATTACAAACATTCCAAGAAATGAAATGGGACCTTGGTATCCACTGCGGTTTGGTTATAGGATTCCCATGGATACCAAAATATAGAGATGCCTAACTGCCATTATGTACAATGGTGTAGTAAAATAGTAAGATGAAGATTTGCTTTTTTGCTTTTTTAAATATTTCCAATATTGAATCCATGAATGTAGAAACCATAAATGTGGATGACCAATTGTCATTACACTCCTTGCTATGACTGAATACAACTTGTACTTCAATATCATGCTGGGTAGAGGAACAGATATGAAAAACTCTAGGACAGAAGGAGACATGGTGCTGGCACCTTAAATCGGCAACCCACCATGCTTCCAAGGGACTTTCTGGCCCTCCTGCCTTTTTTCCATCTACTTGCTCATTTTCCTTACCTTTCTCTTCTCTCTTGTCTCCCTGCCTCTTTCTTTGGCAGATAGGGCACAGTGAAGGAAATTCTGGTAGACCACCACTGTGTGTCCTTTGCCTAAGAAAATCCTTTGGAATTCATTCGTTTGCCATAAATCAACAGACAACTTGAAGACACATGAACACAGATAGAAAGAAACGTTTGAACAGAAGTTTTGTGGTCATTCCTAAATTCTTACTTCATCTTTCATATTTGCAGGATCAGAAGAGGAATGATTCTACTTCCACATATGATGAAGAGAACCTGGCTCAGAATATTCATGACTTATTTATTGCTGGAACAGAAACAACTGCCACTTCTCTAAAATGGGCAATCCTTCTTTTGACAAATCATCCAGATATTCAAGGTAGGAGAGATCCCTGTTTTATCAGCTGCCTTGGATGGCCTAGGGACACACTCCCCCTGTCAAGTTCACTACATAGATCATCCACTAAGACAACCAAGGCTGTATCTCTTCCATGTCCCAGCCTAAAGCCAGACTGCGCCATCTCCAGATAATCAATTTCCTCCATTTGAAACTGCCCAAAACTTGTTCAATTGAGTCGAGTCCAGTGATGTTTTTTCAACAGCAGTTTTATTACAGCTACTTTTAAGCTGGCTGGAATCTTGCCTTCCTGTAAAGAAGCATTAACATTAATCTTTACCTACTTTTCTCCAGTTTGGGAAAGTGGCTTATAAAAAATTAAAAGCTCATTGTTAAAATAGGATAGGAAAATTGGATTGGGGAAAACAAGGCTCAGCATCCCACAGAGTCATGGAAATGACTCTATAGGACATGAATTCTTTGCAGAGAAAGTGGAATACAAATACTATGATTTGTGAGTTATGTTTATTAAATTATAATGGATAGACCTGTATGAATTTTTCATTGCATATTGAACACATCCATAATATTCATGGATATATTCATAATACGGATTTCACCTTTTCCCACAGATAAGGTCTACAAGGAAATAGAAGATGTTTTGAGTTCCTCTTCCTTCAGCTATCAAGATCTAAAGAAGCTCCCTTATACAAATGCTGTACTTCATGAGATCCAGCGTTCAAAATATCCCTTGTTATTTGGGCTCCCAAGGCAAACAGCCAAAGATGTGAAGATGAGAGGTTGTCTCATCCCTAAGGTACAGGATACAAATATGCACTTCTTCATCCTAAGATTGAGGAAGGAGTATAGACAATTTTGAGGGATGTACTCACACTAGAGTGAGCTGACATGGAAAAGTGATTTAAACATTGGTCTGGAGGCACATCTATGCTGATTACTTAACATTGATCAAAGGGAGCTTGAAAACAGGACGTCTGGATGACTCCTGTTACAAATGACCTTTGGACTGGCTCAGCAGAGCTGTTATCTGCTTTCTTTTGGCTGAGCTTACATTAGGGCTCTTTGTTGACTGTTGCCTCTCTTCTTCCAACTGTACCTTTCCATATTCCACCCACTTCCCTATGCTCCAGGAATCTCAGCCTTCATTGCACCTGAACACGTATGACACTATACTGGGACACCACAGGGCTGTGTGTTGAGTCCTCTGCTTTTTACTTTGTACCCATATGATTGTACCCCCATCCACCATAGCAATATCATTACCAAATTTGCAGATGACACATCCATGGTGGGGCTTCTTATCTCTGAAGGGGATGAGTCTGCTTATCTGGATGAGGTGGGTTGGCTGGCCTAGAGAAAAATTCCAAAATGTTCTCCCGACATGGTAAATTTGGGTACCAAGGTAGACCCCCCCCCCCCCCGGATTGAAGGTGGTGCTGTTGAACACCAGGTCTGTCAATGGTAAAACATCAATCATTCAGGACTTAATCCTTGATGAAAAGGCAGATCTGGCGTGCATCACAGAGACCTGGTTGGACAAAGCTGAGGGGTTAATCTCACCCAGCTTTGCCCACCAGGTTACACTGTGCAGCACCAACCAAGATCTGGGGGTGGGGAGGCGGAGTTGCAATAGTCTATAAAGATTCCATCTACTTGATCAGGGGCCCTTCCCTACAGTCGACCTTGTTTGAATGTGTCCACCTGAGGCTAGGAGACCAGGACAGAATAGGGATGCTGTTGGTGTACCGACCACCCCGCTGCACCACAACCGCCCTACCTGAGCTTGCAGAGTTGGTCTCGGGCCTGGCATTGGTGTCCCGGCGGCTTATAGTGCTGGGGGACTTCAATGTCCACACTGAGGCCACTCTTTCAGGGGCGGCTCAGGACTTCATGGCCACCATGGCAACTATGGGGCTGTCCCAGCTAGTATCGGGCCCTACCCACTGTGCTGGACACACACTTGACTTGGTCTTCTGTCAGGGTTGGGAAGATGTGGCGGTGTGGAGGAGCTGTCAATCACTCCTTTGCTGTGGACCGATCACCACCTGATCAGGTTTAGAATTCCTGCAACTTCTAACCTCCGCAGGGGTGGTGGACCCATTAAGATGGTCCGCCCCAGGAGGCTTATGGATCCAGAGGGACTCCTGATGGCTCTTGGGGAGTTTTCCATTGCCTCGGCTGGTGATTCTGTCGATGCTCTGGTCTCTCATTGGAATAATGAGTTGACCAGAACAATAGACACGATTGCTCCGGAGCGCCCCCTCTTAAGTCGCCGAACTAAATCAACTCCTTGGTTTAACGAGGAGTTGGTGGAGATGAAGCGAACAAAGAGGTGGCTAGAGAGTGTGTGGCAGAAAGATCCTAGCGAGTCAAACCAAACACGTCTGCACCTTTATCAAAGGGCGTATGGCGTGGCAATAGAGGCCGCACAAAACTCCTTCTACTCGGCCAATATTGCGTCCACAAGGAACCGTCTGGCTGAGCTGTTTCTTTTTTTTAATTAAATATCTTTATTGAAAGTTTTTTTATAATACATCATACATCAGGCGTTACTTACTATTGTAAGGAAGGGGTGGGGGGGTGAACTGGAATGGGAGTGTGTGGTAGGGATGAGAGAGGTGAGAGGTGAATCCATTTAAAAAACAAAGTTGACTTCCAATCTAGGTTGTGGGGCTGTCAAGTTCCTGAGCTTGCCGTTGTTGAGCTCAGCTTGCCGGCTGAGCTGTTTCGAGTAGTCAGAGGACTGTTGAATCCCACCTCTCAGGATGGGTCCCCTGACGACTCAGCAGCTCGCTGTGAAGCCTTTGCTCAGTACTTTGCGGACAAAGTCGCTTTGATCCCTGCAGGCATTGACACCATGTTAACGGCAGTCTCCGAGGATGTAACACAAGCATCTGCTTGTCCAGTTTTGATGGATTCGTTTCGATCTGTTCAACTCAAGGATGTCATTGGGATTCTTGGGGAGGTGAGGCCGACCACATGCATCCTAGACCCCTGCCCATCCTGGCTAGTCAAGGAAGCCAGAGGGGGCTTCTCAGAGCGGGTAAAGGTGGTGGTTAATGCCTCCCTTCGGGAAGGCAACATTCCAGCCAGCTTAAAACAAGCTGTTATAAAACCGCTGTTGAAAAAACCATCACTGGACCCCACTCAATTCGTCAACTTTCGGCCAGTTTCCAATCTCCCCTATTTGGGCAAAGTCCTGGAACATGTGGTGGCCTCGCAACTCCAGGAGTTCCTGGTAGACACGGATTATCTAGATCCGGCGCAGTCTGGTTTTAGGCCAGGGCATGGTACCGAGACAGCCTTGGTCGCTTTAGTGGATGATCTTTGCCGGGAACTGGACAGGGGGAGTGTGTCCCTGTTGGTTCTGCTGGACCTCTCATCGGCCTTCAATACCGTCAACCATGGTATCCTTCTGGGACGCCTCACGGGAATGGTCCGTGGAGGTACTGCTTTGCAGTGGCTCCGGTCCTTTCTCGTGTGGCGATCCCAGAAGGTGTCGCTAGGGGACTCCTGCTCGACCCCACGGCCATTGTACTGTGGAGTCCCGCAGGGTTCAATACTGTCCCCTATGTTATTTAACATCTACATGAAGCCATTGGGAGAGATCATCCGGAGTTTTGGGGTGCGGTGTCATCTGTACGCAGATGATGTCCAATTCTGTTACTCCTTTCCACCTACTACTAAGGAGGCTGTTCAAGTCCTGAACCGGTGCTTGGCCGCTGTCTCAGACTGGATGAAGGACAACAGATTGAAACTTAATCCTGACAAGACAGAGGTACTCCTGGTCAGTCGAAAGGCCGAACAGAGCATAGGGTTACAGCCTGTGCTTGACGGGGTCACACTCCCCCTGAAGGCGCAGTTTCGCAGCTTGGGAGTGATCCTGGACTCATCCCTGAGCCTGGAGCTCCAGGTTTCGGCAGTGGTCAGGGGAGCTTTTGCAGAATTAAAACTTGTGCGCCAGCTGCGCCCGTACCTTGGGAAGTCTGACTTGGCCACGGTGATCCACGCTTTGGTTACATCCTGTTTAGATTACTGCAACGCTCTCTACGTGGGGTTGCCTCTGAAGACTCCCGGAAACTTCAATTATTCCAACGTGCGTCAGCCAGGTTACTAATAGGAGCGGGGTACAGGGAGCATACTACTCCTCTGTTGCGCCAGCTCCACTGGCTGCCAGTCAGCTTCTGAGCACAATTCAAAGTGCTGATCTTAACCTATAAAGCCCTAAACGACTCTGGCCCAATTTACCTGTCCGAACGTATCCTCCCCTATGAGCCATCAAGATTACTAAGATCGTCTGGAGGGGCCCTGCTCTCGATCCCACCGGCCTCACAGGCGCAGCTGGTGGGGATGAGAGACAGGGCCTTTTCGGTGGTGGCCCCTCAACTCTGGAACTCCCTTCAACTGGAGATCAGAACTGCCCCTTCAATCTTAATGTTCAGGAAACAGGTGAAAACCTGGCTTTGGGGATTGGCATTCAACGAATGAGCCATGATCCTGTGATATGGATGGATGACGACGAATAATGACTTTGATGACGACTGACCACTGTAATCATATGATTGTATTTTTGTTATTTTAATTGTTTCAATGTTTTAATGTTTTAGTGTGATTTAGAAATATGATGTTTTAATGACGGTCTTTAATATTGATGTTGGAAACCGGCAGTCCTGCTGGCACAAGAGTTTAACCCATTTCACCACCGGGGGCTCATAATGAACTATAGAATGAACAGACCAGAAATTCAGCTCTTGGTCATAGATGGAGAGCAAGTTGAGCAGCTGGTCAGTTTCAAGTGTTACTGTTAAAGAGTACCTGATCTCAGGTACCCTTACAGCAGGATTGGTGAAAAGAGGCCAGGAGAGGCTGTACTCCTAAGGAGTGTCCTCAGACCATTCTTGGGGATCCATCTCACCCAGCATATTCTTTTTTTTTTTTTGGAATTATGCCATCTTGTTGTACAGGGTAACAAAGACAAGGACAAAGAGACTGAATGATAGTTTTTATCCTAGAGCGGTGGCTATGTTGAACTCCATGGTTTCACTGATGTGGCATAGGTAGGGGGTGTGGTGGGGGTGTAATGTGGATGGGCATGTGTGTTTTTTGTGGCTTGTACAGGGAAGGCATTTAAATTCATTGTGAAATAGCACAATGACTTGGTTTATGTATTCAAGTCATTGAATTTTGCAATTATCTTTTGTAAACCGCTTTGAGCCCCCCCCCCCCAGGGGTGAGAAAAGTAGTATATAAATACTGTAAATAAATAAATAAATAAAGCGATTCTACTCTATTCTATTCTAAGTCCTATCATAGGAAGTGCAAATTTAACATTTGTTTCTGCCTTTCAGGGGACAGCTATTATGCCAAATCTACGCTCTGTTCTTCTTGATCCTGAGCATTGGAAGTCTCCTGAAAAGTTCAATCCAAATCATTTTTTGGACCAGGATGGACATTTTGTTGCTAGAGACGAGTATCTGATATTTGGTGCAGGTAAAAATAGGTCATGATTTATCAGTGCATCTTCTAGGGAGTTTCTGTGATAAGATGTGCTTCGGCCTCTGTCCTTTGTGGGGCAGTGCAGTTGCTGTTCGTGAGCACATATCAATCAGGGCAGTAAGACATTCATTGCAATTATGGAACAATTAAGAACTATAAACTAAGGACCTCGTCACATGAAAGCAGGGAAAGCGGGAAAAAGTTAAGAGTATTGTCTTCTTTCATTCCCTATTGTCAAGGTCCCTTAACTTTCCATCTTCAGGAATGGCAGACATCTCAAATCCTTTCTTGCCTTTCCTGCTTCTCTCCATCTTCTATTATTGAGAGTTGAGAGAAAGACATCAGTGATGTGTGTTCATATGTGTGAATAGGTTAGTCTACTTTTTTAGTTTGCTTTGTTTTTCATTGGTAAGTCATGGCATTGTGAAAATGCTTTTAGGAAAAAGGTTTACCTATGTAGTAGCTGTAGGTGTCCTTCGCTTCCACATCAGTTACCCTTCGCTCCTTTGTTTCTCACTATTTTATGATTAATTTTTTTATTAAGGAAGATTAAAGCAAAAGCTCCATAAAAACATACAAAAAAAAAACCACCTTCAACTAGAAAAGATCCAAAATACTTTTTCAGGAATAATACTACTACATCCTAAATATTAAAAACAAAATCAATAAGTACAAACTACAAGCAACCTACATTATTGGGTTGTTGTGAGTTTTCCTACATTATCTAATCTAAGGGCTTTACATTCTCTAGTGGTTATATTTTCTCAGTTTTCTACACCCAAAAGGAAGCATTTGTACATCCTTCACTTTTAGTCCAAAAACAAGAACAAGAATCAAGGAGACAGAAGTGACTGTAAGAGATACACAATGAAGGAACTCCTGAAAGATGCTCTTCCAACTTCTTACAATTATCCAATGATAGGGAATTCAACATCCTTCAATGCATTTTATGCCACTTTTAAGCAGCATGTTAAATCAATCAGTTTTTCTAAAATTTAGATAGAATGTCTTCTATTCTGAGTCAGATTGGTTACTTTAAGAGTGTGGAGTGGAACATGGCTTAACAATCCATAGTCCATATTCCAGATCCATCCCTGTTTGCTGCATGGGATAGGTCAGTGTTTCTCAACCTGTGTTCCTCCAGGTGTTTTGAACTTCACCTCCCAGAAATCCCAGCCATCTTACCAGCTGTTAGGAATGGTGGGAGCTGAAGTCCAAAACATCTGGAGAAGCACAATCTGAGAAACTCCAGGATAGATACTCACTTTCTACTTTTATTTCCCCTGCAGGGGCTCGGGTGTGTTTGGGGGAGCAGCTGGCAAGGATGGAGTTCTTCATCTTCTTGGTCAGCCTTCTGAGGGTCTTCCGCTTCCAGCTGCCTGAAGGAGTCAAAGAACTTAATGAAGAACCTGGAATAGGACTGACCACCTTGCCCCATCCTTATAAAGTGTGTGCTGTTCCTCGCTCTAGTTCATCATAAAACATTCAAAAATGATTACAATGGCTTATACTTGATTGCTGTCATTTTAAACCAAATTAACATTTTATTTGTTATTTCCAAGTTTTATCATGTACACAAAACCTGAATCATGCCTGTGATATAACTCAATTATAAAGAGATTCTGTATCATTCTGTTTTTCTTTCCCCCACCCCAACAAGTTTAAATAATTCTTGCTATGGATGGATGTGGGGCTAATGTAGTATAATGAGTTGTGGTTGTCTACTTCTCTGGGAGATCTGGTTTGAAATCCTCATTTTTCCATGGAGACCCACTTGACCTTGGGAATCTATACTCTCATAGCCACAAACCTCATCTACACTGCCATCTAATGCAGTTTCATAATGCAGTTTAGGTGCATTGAACTGAAGTATTATAAAGTTTACAAAATTATATGGTTCATTGAATGTCTTTAGTAATGTTTAGTTAATGGGTTTGTACCTTTAACTGTTAGAATGCTTATAATTTAAGTCTTGTCAATTAGATACAGGTGGAGCTCATTACTGTTGTTCTTATAGTCTGCATCTGCCTGTATTCTCTGGTCTCTGGGTGTTTTCTGTTTCTGCATTGGAACTGCAATAAAGTAAGCTTCTCATGACCATATTACTTTGGGTTGTGCTTCTGCTGTAGCATTATTTTTATTTTTATTATGATATTTTGCAATATGAATATCATAATTCTGCTGTCAACTGATGCCTTATGTGGCACTGGAGACTCATATAATACAGTTCACTACAGTTAAACTGTCTTATGAAAGGGCCTCAGGGGAAGGCCATGGCGAAACCCTCTAAACAAACCTTGTTGAGAAACTTCTATGACAGGTTCACATTAGGGTTCTTCGACATCTGAAACAACTTGAAAGCACACTGCAGCAACCAAAGTTTAGAGAGGGACAGAGGGAGACTCCATATTGTATTTGAGCAACAAAAATAAATCAAATCCTCAGGAATTGTTATTGTCTTCTACCAGTTCAAACCAGGGATAATTAATGTTATCCTTTCCTTGAGCCTGTGCTTGAAAAAAGCAGGCTTCCATTAGAAATACTCTAGCTGCCAAACCATCAACTGTACAGTACATGTTCAAACCAAGGCCCACAGGCCGAATCTGGGCCACCATGTCATTTTATGAAGCCCTCCAAGTTCTGGACTACAACGCCTGCTTTCCACATCCTTGGACATCAGGACTAGAGATTATGGGATTTGAGATTCAGGGCCATTCCAGACAGGTCCTGTATCCCAGGATCTGATCCCAGGTTTTCTGCTTTAAACTGGATTATACTGCCAGATATTCTGGGATAAACAGAAAACCTGGGATCAGATCCTGGGATATAGGGCCTGTCTGGAAGGGCCCCCAGTAACATCTGGAAGGCTGCAGTTTGTTTTGTTTCAATTAGATGCAGGGTTTTGTGTATATGATGTCTGACTTTAAAAGTGTCATTGAACATTTGTGCTGTGGGGTGCACTTCCCATTAGCCCAGTCTGTATGGAAGCAGATGTTGTCATTTAATAACATCTGGGGACCTAAACTGAATAAAAGCTGAAACACACTGACTGCTATATAAGGACTTAATCACGTGGGGAAATTTACCTATCGTACAACGCTTTCAGCACAGTTCAAATGATGTATAGCTACTTCTGGCAGGGCTCCGTTCCTGGGATGTGTTGAAAGCCTCATATGATGGATCAACAAGAGCACAGGAAACTTCCCTAGGTTTAGAAGTCATACAGCAGTTTGGTACCAAGTAGAACATAAACTTTTTCTCATTAATTCATCCTCATACTCACTACAGACTTCTCCCAAAGAGATGATCAGTTCCTTCATAGAAGTGATGGGTGGCAGATGCAATGCTTTTTCTGGCACACATGAGCCTCTGGAAAGCCTTCTATATATTATTTTCAGGTGTATCTCAGTCCATATTTTACATCAGTTGTATTCCACATTGCTTTCAGTTCTTGGCCCGTAACAATAACAGACGATTCCTCCCAGGTCTTGGTACTTGGAACACTCCCTTGTACCAGTTGGGTGGTGTCCTTTGTTATTTCCAATTCAGTTCATCATTTTGGATAGGTTACTCTTCCAGGTCCTGGTGCTCCCTGTTTCTACCAGTATAATAAAATCATAGAGTTGAAAGAGACCACGTGGGCCATCCAGTCCAACCCCATTCTGCCAAGAAGCAGGAAAATTGTATTCAAAGCACCCTCACAGAAGGCCATCCAGCCTCTGTTTAAAAGCCTCCAAAGAAGGAGCCTCCACCACACTTCGGGGCAGAGAGTTCCTCTGCTGAACAGCTCTCGCAGTCTGGAATCTCCTTTCTTGTAGTTTGAAGCCATTGCTCCGCGTCCTAGTCTCCAGGGCAGCAGAAAACAAGTTTGCTCCCTCCTCCCTATGACTTCCTCTCACATATTTATACATGGCCCTCATCATGTCTCATCTCAGCCTCTTGCTGTCTCCAATTCATCAGGTTGAAAAGTTAATTTCAAGGATTGACAATTCCTTGCTTCAATTGCCAAAAGTCTCCACATTGCAGTTCTCTATTTGCAATAGTATTTTCATTGTATAGTAGCGGTCCCCTGCCATGCATTGCTGTGGCCCAGTCTGGTGATATGGAAAATAAAGTAATGAGAAAGTGTGGGTTTCTAATATATATAATGTCTTTCTGCTGAAAAATCATTAAATGCTAATCAAGGTGGCAAGTTGCAACATTCACACATGCCTCAAGCAGACAAGAGTTCTTTCTCACACCCTGGACATTCCACAGATACATAAACCTCACTTGCCTTGTTTCCAACAGACCTCACAACCTCTGAGGATGCCTGCCATAGATGTGTGCAAAACATCAGGAGAGAATGCTTCTGGAACATGACCATTCACAGCAACTCAATATCACTGATTGATATATACAGCTGCACAATCTGAATGTGTCATCACTCACCTCCTCTGCTGCTTTTCAGCTGCTCAGAAATGGCCAAGGGACTGATTGTTTCCGGGACAACAAATCAAATAAATGATTTGGAGTATCATACGGCAGACTAATGGTATCGCAATTACTAAACAGAATGTCCACTTGTATTTCATTATCTTGGTTTGGTCTATGTGCCTATAAATTTTTATCATATTGATAATAGGATAGACTGTTTAGGTTAGGAGTAAGACCTGAGACAAACACTCTTAAGTCTCCGGCAATATCATTAATGTTATGTATCAAATACCAATTACAGAGCGTCATGCCCTTGTATTGGCAACACTATTGGTAAATAAGAATTAATTTTAAAATAATCATATTAATAAGATCTAATGGTCTTGGAAGTGGCCTGAACTCATTTCAAATGATGATAAGCTTGCACATTGAGTTATAATTAGAACCATGTGATGTGATTATTTTATTTCCTCGGAACCACAAAGAGTGCCAACGCTTAGTATTCACTCAGCACACATGTAGGTTATATTTGCCAAAACATGTTGCGGTGATACATTGGTTTCTAACATTGACATCAGAACCAAAGGACTGATCACATTAGTTATTTTTTATTAATTTTCACATTTAATCCAGGGTTTCTCAACCTTCCTAATGTCCTGACCCCTTAATACAGTTCCTCCTGTTGTGGTGACCTCCAACCATAAAATTATTTTCCTTGCTACTTCACAACTGTAATTTTGCTACTGTTTGTTGGAAAGCAAGAGTCATGGCCATATCGAAACCAGGAAAAGACCATAATGATCCAAAAAGCTATAGACCATTCTCCTTGTCGTGCCATCTTTACAAAGTTCTAGAGATACTTATTTTGCATAGAATACTGGAAAATAATAATAATAATAATAATAATAATAATAATAATAATTTTTATTTGTATCCTGCTACCATCTCCCCAAAGGACTCGGTGCGGCTTAAATGGGGCCACAGCACATCAATAAACAAAGGCGATAACAAATAGTCAATACAAAACAGTTAAAATAAACTCAAAAACAGAAAATACACAATAAGCAATACACAATAACAATATCAATAACATACAGCATTAAAAACCTATGGCCGGGCCAAATGTAATAATTAAAATTTAAATATGCTGGGCATGAACAAGGTAGGCTAAACTAGGGTTTTCAGAGAAAGATGAAGGTGTGCAGACAATTCTAAATCAATATTAAAGTGCATTTGAGGACATGTTGCTACCCCTATGTATGATTCCACAGCAAGCTGGTTTCAGGAAAGGCAAAAACTGCACATCACAAGTTTTGAACCTGACTCAGCAAATAGGAGATGGTTTTGAAAGGCAGCAGATTACAGGAACTGTTTTCATAGATCTAACAGAAGCTTATGACAAATCATCACATTCTCCTGAGAAAAATTTATAATATCACAAAGAACTACCACCTCACTTGCTCCATAGGAAATCTGCTACAATATATGAGCTTTTTTGTTGTGTTCCAGGACCAGAAAAGCAGATGGCGTAAACAGAAGAATGGCCTGCCTCAAGGGAGTGTGCTTGCTCCATCAATGTTTACACAAATGATCAGTCACTGCCAAAAGGGACAGAGATTTTCATCTCCAGCCTTGGTCCTTTTATTATTGGCTGCTACTTCCCAATGGATGTCAGGTGGTGCAATACTAGCTAAACAGTATGATTTCACCAGTGGTGTAGGGTGTAGCCATCCTGTGATAATGCAGCATGTCTCATTAAGAGTCACATCCACTGTTTTAACATGGTGATATATGTTCCACACTGGGCACGCGTACTTAACAGCAGCGTAGCCAAGCGCAAGAGCAAATATCGTCACTGTGTCTGGTTGTGATCCTGAGGTTGTGCCAGTCAGCTTTCGTATGATATTATTTCTAGCATCACTTTTTGCTTGATATTCAGGCAGTGCTTCTTGTAAGTCAGGGAACGGTCCAGGGTAACTCCTGGGTTTTTTGGTGTGCTGCAGTGCTCCAGTAGGATACCTTCCCAGGTAATCTTCAGAGCTCAAGATGCTTGTCTGTTCTTAAGACGAAAAGCACAAGTCTGGATTTTAGATGGATTAGGAATTTGCTGGTTTTTCCTGTAGTAGGCAGTAAGAGCACCTACAGCCTCAGAGAGCTTCTGTTCAACCATTTCAAAGCTCCCTGCTTGAACGGTGATGGCATGATATTTGGATATCGGCCAGCACCCCAAAGCTTTA